TCCCAGAGCTACACACAGGGTTTACAATACAATAATTATATTCTGTCTTAAATTATATTATCCTTAAATTAACAATGCTATAACATCCTTTAGCTCTCTTCTAAACTGACCTATTAAATATCAACTCCCAGAATTCCTGAGTCAGCATGGGGGAACTATGGCCCCCTCATGACTTGTGGACTTCAACTCCCAGAATTCCTGAGCCAGCTTGGCTCAGCTTGGAAACTCTCCCTTTCCCCTCAGCATGGCTGGCTCAGGAATTCTGGGAGTTGAAGTCCACGAGTCATAAAAGAGCCCAGGTTGCCTACCCGACCATGGTCATGTGATCAAAAATCAGTTGCTTGGCAACTGACTCGTGTTTACGACGGTTGCAGGGTTGTCCTGGGGTCGCATGATCCCCTTTTGTGACTTTCTGAAAGTCCATGGGGAAGCCAGATTCACTTAACAACTGGGTTAGTAACGTCACAACTGCAGCGATTCACGTCACACCTGTGGCAGGAAAGGGGCAAAATTCACTTAACAAATGTTTCACTTAGCAACATACATTTTGGGCTCAAGTATGGTAGTAAGTTGAGGACTTTCTGCATTTCAGCGGGAAAAAGAGGGTGTTTTTAAATGAAACCTTGTTAAATTTCTACAAAGAATAAAATATTGTCCTGAAGGGCGGACAAGAAGCAACGGATGGCAACCAATCAAGGAGAGAAGCAACCTAGAACTAAGGAGAAACTTCCTGACAGTTAGAACAATTAACCAGTGGAACCACCTGCCTCCAGAAGCGGTGAATGCTCCAACACTGGAAGTTTTTAAGAAGAGACTGGACAGCCATTTGTCCGAAATGGTGTAGGGTTTCCTGCCTGAGCAGGGGGGCTGGACTAGAAGACCTCCAAGGTCCCCTCCAGCTCTATTGTGACGGATTGATTGTATGAGATGCTTGGTGACCTAGATTTCCTCCTGACCTGGAGGAACTAAAGTTAATTCACACAATTAATATGGTGGGGGTGGGGGAGGGGGGCAGGGAAAGCTGCCTTGGACCCCTTCCAAGCATAGACTTTCTCCCCGAAAGTCATCTCTCTATTTTTGTGTCGCCGAAGCTCATGGTCCATCACCGAGACCACAGATTTTTATGTCCGTCATCTTTGTGTATATGTGTAAGAAAAACGCTTCTCTTTTACCTTCATGGCCACCATCTTGGTTCTTCTCTCCATACGTTGTGGACACATCCTTGGTCCACCCTTGAGCTTTGCTCGCCTCTTCTCTTTGGCCATAGATGGTGGCAGGACCATCAAAGCTTCTTGGCTGCTGGAACGGTGGAGAAAATCAAGATTTGGGGGGGGGAGCTGACTGTGGAATTCCCTCTAATGCAGTGGTTCTCAACCTGTGGGTCGGGACCCCATTTGGGGTCGATCGACCATTTCACGGGGGTCGCCAAGCAAGGCTGTCCGCCATTTTTTTTGTCCGCCATTTTTTTTGTCCGCCATTTTTTCCCCTTTTCCGGCGGGTGCCTTACCTCCCTTGGGCTGGGCCAGCTGGTGGTCGGCCTGCTCCGTCTCTGCCACTTGCCAGCTACGCCACGGCCAGCGCAGGGGGCGGAACCATGCATGCGCGATGCTCCCGGGCAGGGAAAGTCCTCGACTTACGCCCGGTTGGGTAGTCCTCGCCTTACGACCGGTTCAGTCCTCGCCTTACGACCGGTTTAGTCCTCGCCTTACGACCGGTTGGGGTTGCGGCATTAAAAAGGTTGAGAACCACTGCCATAGATGGTGGCAGGACCATCAAAGCTTCTTGGCTGCTAGAACGGTGGAGAAAATCAAGAGTTGGGGGGGTGAGCTGACTGTGGACTTCTCTCTAATGGGAGGCCCTCCTGAAGGGGGCAGGCCAATGGGTCAAGATGAGGACCTCTTTCAGAAGAACATCAGGCGCGTCTCTCTGGCCCATCTCACCAGGAGATTGGTCTCCCCGTGGCCAACCAGCTGCCCAAGGAAAGGTCCTTAACTGACCACCTTCAGCTGGAGAAAGTCAAGCCACACAAGGATGGTTCTGCTCTTCCTTGGAACGGGGCGGCTGCAGAGGGGGCAGTTTCACTTCTGCAAAGCCTGTGTGGTGAAGGCCAGATCCGTCCAGCATGTGACCTTCTTGGCAGGAAGAGCTCAGCTTTCACTTCTGATGGATGAAGGCCAAGGGGGATCATCCTGCAGAGAGACAGAGAGAGACAGAGAGAGAGAGAGAGTCAGAGACAGAAGGAAAGAGAGAGAGAGAGAATGAGAGAGAGAAAGAAAGAGAG